TTAAAAATAAAATCTTAAAAAAATGTTGGTAGAATTTCTCAGTGAAGTTATCTGGGCCTGGAATTTTCTTTGTGGGAGAAATTTTTATTATGAATTCAATAACTGACATAGGGATTTTTCATACTTTTCTATCAATTTTAATAACTATATTTTCAAGAAATTTTTCCATTTCATCTAAGTTGTTATATTGGCATAAAATTGTGTAAAATAAATTTTATCATTTCAGTGTCTACAGGATCTGTACAGATGTACTTTTATGCTCAGTATTTGCACTGAATATCTTTTTCAACCCTTATACTTCCACTTCCCTGTATCTTCATGTTTAACGGGTTTTTTTCTTATAAATCAAATGTAGTTAGGTCTTTGCTTTTTTTTTAATCCATTTTTAAATTATTATCTTGGCCTTTTAATTAGAGTGTATATTCCATTTTAATGCAATGTAATTGTTGATCTGATGGGGTTAAGTCTATCATGTTAATATTCATTTTCCATTTGTCTTCATTTTTATTCTTTTTCCTCTCTTTTCCAGCTTTCTCCTGAGTGAATTGTGAATATTTTAGTATAATTTTATCTCTTCTCTTGACTTTATAATATATATCTTTCAGGTTTTGTTTGGGTTTTGTTGTTGTTGCTTTTTTTTTTTTTTTTTTAGTGATTGCTCTAGAAATTACAATATGTATCTTTAACTTATTACGGTTTTCCTTTAAATCATATTATACTACTTCATGAGCAATATTACCTTATAAAGTTTCCATTTTTCCTCTTTACTGCTTTTTGTGCTTTTATGTTTTTCAATTCTACATATATCATAACCCTTTTTACATTGTTATTAAAAATATACTTATATATAATAAAGTTATTTTATATTTACCTACATGTTCTTTTTGATGTTCTTCATTTCTTCCTGCAAAATTGGGCTTCCATCTGGTATTGTTTCTCTTCAACATGAATACCTGCTTTGGTATTTCTTTTAGTGAAGGTCTGCTAGAGATGAATTCTCTCCTCTTTTGTCTAAAATATTTTTATTTTGTTTTCATTTTTGAAGGATATTTTCACTGGTATATAATTCCAGATTTCAAAAAATAATTCTAATTTTTTTTGCCTCCAATAATTTAAAGATGAGTATCCGTTGTCTTCTAGCCCCAGTGTCCCTACAAAGTCACCTGTGACTTGTATAGTTTCCTGTATATAATGTATCTTTTTTTTTTTTCTGGCTGCTTTTAAGATTTTTTTCTCTATCTTCGGTTTTCATCAGAATTTGACTTAGATATCTTTAGGTTTGGATTTTGTTGCATTTATCCTGTTTGGGCTTTTCCTTGAATCTGTAAGTTAATGTCTTCCATGAGTTTTGGAACAATCACTAAAATTGTCTATTTTTTTGGCCTCATTCTTTTCTTTCTTCTGGGACAGAAATACGTGTCTGATAATTTGATATGGATGGCCCCATAGATCTTACAGCCCCCCTTATCTTCTTTTTATTTGAATTTGAATTACTTCTATTGACCTACTTTTCTGTTTACTGTGTCCAGTTTTCTGTTAAACACATTGAATAAATGCTTCATTTCTGATATCTTTTTCATTTGTAAGATTTTTATTTGTTTTCATAGTTTCCAGCCTTCTGCTGATATTCTCCATCTATTCATGGAGATGTTGTCTACTTTCCCCACTAGATCCTTTAACATCTAGTTCTAAGTCCTGCTTGTTCTAAAGTCCCTGTCTGATAATTCCCTAACATCTGGAACATCTCTGCATCTGCTTCTATCAAACTCTCTTAACCGTACTTCATTATTTTCTTGCTTCTTCACATATCTCTTCAAGTTTAATTGTATGCTAGTAATTGTGTGTTAAGAATAATCGATAATAACATACTGATACATACCTCCAATAAAAGGTACACCTCTTCTTGTGTCAGTTCATAAATTGGGGTGGAGGGGGCTGAGCCAATTTAATCTGTAGCTGAACTTTGTTGCAGCTTTAGCTACATTCACTCACCTTGGCCCCAAATGTTTTGAGGAAGGGATTAGGGCTTCTCTTCAGTAGGGGGTGGGATCTGAGCACCAAAAAGACTCTGAAGATCTCTTTTATGCTTTACTGCTTTGCCACCCATGTCTTAGCTGTAGGAGATGTTATCTCTGCCTAAAACCAGACTGACAACCTTTTGGGTTGCTGGACAATTCTCTTTTCTCCTCAAGAGAGTCTTCTCTGCTATGTCCCTAGGCACTGGAGAGCCTCCACAGTGCGCTTATAAAGGCCCAGGGTGGGTGCCTTGGATAGATATCTTTCAGTTCTCTTGCCCTGCTGAGGATTTGAAGTGGTATTCAGAAGATAGGTGATACATTCATCACTGTCCTTCTGCTGTCCAGCCTCTGAAATTTTGTTGCAAACATCTCCTTCCCCATACTTTCTGCCCTTGTAGCTTATTCTTTAAAATATACATTTAAATATCACTTTAAATGGGTTTTTGGAAGGAACCCATTAAATATGTATGTTCAATTCATTCTCTTTAGTCCAACATCTTTCTGTTTGCTTTTTCAGTCTTTGGTTGCTCTTATTGTTATTAAGCCTTTGCATGTTTATTTATAATTTGCCTTATTCCAAAGGGCAGTCCAGTTTCTATATTCTAATTCTTATCAATTCAGCTTTGCAAAAATAAGCCCAAATCTTTAAAGTAATTCAGTCAATGTAACTAAAATTTTATAGCTATTTAAAGGAATTTAGCTACCAAGTGCTCATCTTCAACAAAATATCCTGTCAACTGGAAGGATGGATGCATGCCTGTATTTATCATTTCCTCATGCAACAAGTTTATATTTCCCACCTTTCCTCTATCCCAACTTTATGTTTTTTAGTATTTCTTTTTTTTTTTTTTTTAAGTAATCTCTATGCCTAACATGGGGCTCAAACTCACAACTCCAACATCAAGATTTGCATGCTCTACCCACTGAACCACCCAGGTACCCCTCCTCTATCCCAACTTTAAAACAAAAACACAGAACTATTTACAATTGAGAAGAAACATATGCATTATCAATTGTTTTGTTTTGTTTTGTTTTACAAAAAAACCCCAGACTAGTTCTCTTCTTAAGCAAATGGCAAGATCTAAATTTCTTACCGGAGTCCAACATTGGGTTGACCAGCTACTTATACTGCAGCTAGCAAACACCGTGGCAGATTAGGGGTAATGCCACTGGGAGGCTTATTTTGGATTTCTCAGCCTCTATCCACAATTCTTATGGAGATAAGACTTCTTTCTGATTAGCTAAAAAACAAACAATGTTCAGGGCCACTTTCACTTATATTATTCAACACATTTCTCCCCATCTCTACCATCCCCTCAACTTGCATCCTGTATTTTATATATCAGGGTCTCCTGGTTCACTTATACAATATGATCTGTGTGACAATCTACTTTTTGTCCCTTAGATGCCCCATCCTCATTCTCCCTCACTCCAACTCCATGTCAGCTTTAGATACTGACGCCTCTATCCATCTCAAGGTACTTGAAAACTCAGAAGAGTGACAGACCAAGAGTACCTACTTATGCTCAATTTGTTAACAGAGACATGCTTGGCTGACCCATTTTCCAAATGAAATTTGGTTCCACTTTAAAAGTCAAGGCTGTCATAAAAATGTCACAGAAACTGAGGATTTAGCTTATATTGTAGAAACGCTTCTTTAAAATTAGAATTTGGCTGTGTGCAGCTTAAAAAATAAAATAGGCCAAGGCACATCAAAGAGGTTACCCATGATTATCTTCCCCCAAAATAAGTGGTTTTAACTCAGACTACATCGCACATCCAGTCAAGTCCAAAAAAGAAGCAGTCCATGTCTCACTGTATTAAGTGCAGCGTTTTCAATCATCTTGGTACCCTGCAATGGATGCCTTCAATTACATTTTTCAATGTTCAGTCACAATCTGTGAGAAGTTTGGTTGCAACAAATTATATAGCATTGCTTCTCTTCCCTCAAAATGCACTTCCCAAACCGTGGCTACAGGAAACTCCCTGAATCTTTTGATAAAATGACTCTACACCAATGTGGCAACAGATGCTGAAGGGCTTATTATTCCTCTTTTTAGAGGATGAATATTGCACCTTTTCCTGGGGCTTGCTAGAGATCTGATGCCTCAAACAGTGGCAGGTTAGCAGTGGGGGAGATGGAGGTGTTAATAAGGCAAGTGTCTTTGTGACCCCTCATGTAGGATGGCAATCTTCTCAACCCAAACAATACCAGCTAGTCCCTTGCCTCTTCCATTCAACAGAAAAGCATGGGAATGAACCCTGTCCCTAAAGTAGGCAGAGTCAGAGAAACTAGGGTGATTTTCTGGGGTTTTATGAGGTTCTTTGAGGGTTTCTCATGAGGTAAACATGAGATGCAGTCATTAGAAGGCTTGACTGGAGCTGAAGGATTTGCTTCCAAGATGGTGCATTCACACTCCTGGCTTGGTGCTGATTGTTGGCAGGAGGCCTCAGTTCTTTGCTTCGTGAACCTCTCACATGGTTGCTTATCTTCAATGACATGGCAGCTGCTTTCTCCCAGAGAGTAATCCAGAAGCTGGAATGTAACTCAGAAGTCACACTCCATCAATTCTGCATGTCCTTTGGTTACACTGGTCAGCCCTATCCAATGTGGAGGTGGAGGGATTACACAAGAGTGTGATACCAGGAGGTGAGGATCACTGGGGGCCATCTTAGAGGCTGCCTACCACAAATATATATATAGATTCTTGGACAAGGTGGGGGTTAGGGGAGCTGACCCCTGCACAGTCGCAAATCCATGGATAATTTTTGACTCTCTAAAAACTTAACTATTAATAGCCTATTATTTAAAAAAAAAATAGCCTATTATTGACCAGAAACCTAAATGATAACATAAACAGTTGACTAACATATATTTTGTATATGTATCATATACTGTATTCTCATAATAAAGCCAAAAATGTTTAAAAAAATATTAAGGAAGAGAACATAAATTTACAATATTGTACTTTATTTATTAAGAAATCCACATGCAAGTGGGCCTGTGCACTTCAAATCCATGTTTTCAAGGGTCAACTGTTTATCAAAAATTATACAATATAATACATGCTGCTGGCAAGTTTTTTTTCACTGACTAGTTCATCATCATTGTCTCACATCAGTATTGTTTTATATTATCATTTTTAGTGGCTGCATAATATTCTATCATATAGACACTAAAATTTGTTTAATTCTGTAATTTTGAACATTTATTTCTAACATTTTATCACAAAAGGAGTACTGTGATAAGCATCCTGATCCACTTACTCACATACTACTTCTGAAATAAATTTAAAGGAAGGAAACACTGATATCCAAGGTAATTTATTCTACTTGTAAATCAGCCCATAAAAATGACTGCATATAATTTCTAGACCCTTGGCCTTTATAAGTACCATTTTATAAAAGCTTGAAGTGTTTTTTTTTAAACATCAGCTTCTGTGTGAGAGGTTTCCAATTTTGGAATGTTAACAAGAGCTTATAGCAGACTAACCTAAACTTGCAAAAACTCTTGTTTTCTGTTTAGGGGTGACAATGAACAACTTTTTGTTAACTATTTACTTGGAGAAATTATTACATCTAATTTGAAACTTTTTTTTATTATTACAAATGTAATAATACAAATAATTACAAATGTACATCTGAGAGATTTTTTCCATTGGTTTGGCTGTTTGCTATAACATTCTAATTCCTTATATACTGATTGAGAATATCCAGATGGAGCAATCAGTGTTCAAAGAAGCACTCCTTAGGGTGATTATCAGCTTCTTGTCTCACTGATCAGATGATAAAGAGTAAGAGCTTTTAATTTAGATAAACTTTGAATTTATTATAAACTGGTGAACTTATTTTCTTTCAGTTCAAAGAAAGTATGTATACACAAGATCTCAAAACTTCAATCATCAAATACATTTTTGAAGAGATTTCTGTCACATGAGATCAGAAGAGAACTCAAGCTTCCATCACTGTGCTGCCATATTTACTCATGTATTTAACATTTGCCAAGTGGATGTGGGTAAATTTAAGAAACTGTAAATAAATATTGATACATCATAACAGAAGCTATTACTCACATTCTAAGTAAACCACTGATTCTAATTTATTCACAATTTTGCAGTGGCATCATTCCATGAAGAAAATTAGATTTTTACATATCAGAGCAAATCACAAAGCCAAAATGTCAACTTCATACATCAGGCAATTACTTGTACTGTTTATTTTGGGGGAAATTTTCTACATATATTTACTTAGAAAGCTGCACGGGTCCTCCAAAATAAATAGGGGCTATAATTCTTGCCAAAAACCCCACAGTTCCAGAGAGCTACTCATCAATTTCCATCAGCATTAATGAGGAAAGGCACTGAGACAGTCATTCATACTGTCTTTATGATAAGAGTAACCTACAGGGCAAATCAAGATTAAGGACAAGGTCAAGAAAAATGGTTTGGAAGACTCCTCTTTTCTAAAATCAATCATCTGAAATCACATTTACTACCTGAAGTCCCCATGGAACATTAGAGTCCTCAGAGAAGAGTGAGAACTCCTCTCTGTACTGAAGACATCACTGAAATCTTTTTTAAGGTGAGAATGGCCTCTTATGAGTACAGAAGGATCTTACGTTCCCACATACTGGGGGTAAGATTCTCTTAGAGCTGGATCGTTCTCTGTTGTAGGGACTGTTCTAAGCATTGTAGGATGTTTAGCAGCATCCCTGGCCTCTTGTCCCAGTTGTGACAACAAAGAATGTCTTCAGATATTGCCAAATGTTTCCTGGAAGGTAGAAAAATTGCCTCTAGTTGAAAAACTCTACCATGCTGGAAGGATAATCTTCTCTCTTAAAGACACATTTCAGTCTTAAGGGCTTTGCCAGGTATTACATCGTTCAAATGGCATCAAGGCAAGGGTTACCCTTAAGTTGGAAAACATGCCAAACACCCACCTGAGGGGTCTAGAATACCTTGATGGGATTTCCCAGGACGTGTGTGTTTCAGTTTGGTGCTACCAAGTTCCATAGGTAGTGGTTGATTTTCAATAGCCAGCTGGTAGGATTCTGCCTAGGCAAGGTGGGTTCATCTGGATGGGTTCTTCTCTATTAGCCACATGTTGTGCGGCTATAAGCCTTTGCTCATTTTTTCTTATGATCTGAGGCTTCATTTGAAAAAGGTACATTTCAAAATAACAAATTAAGGGAGATAAGATTAACCTTAAGTACAAAAACTTCTGCCTTTTCCAGTGTGCAAGAAATGGCATTTACCTAGTCAAAATCTTCCAGGGTGGCCACTAGACATGACCTTAAGCAAGAAAAGCTAAAAGAATGTTAGCAGGACCAGAGATCAGTTTTCTTCCTAAACAACAGAAAATAACTGAAAAGAGACCAAAAGGCTTATTAAATTTCCTTTCTTCTAATATGGATTTCTGCCTCATCTGCTTAGATTGTTCTCTCCCCTTTTCCTATTTGCAAGCACAGGAAAGAGTCCTAAGAGATTAGAAAAAAAATTGGCAGTAATTTATTTAAATGTAGCATTAAGCCTTTTAGTTTCTGCAGACCTAGTAGGTTGGCCTAATTTATAACACTTCATAATTCACTTACTGTATATTTGACCCAATTGAGATAAAAATTATTTTTAAAAGAGGGAAGTGAATTTAATGGATTTAACTGGAACCCTCACATCCCCTCACCTAGTATCATGGCTTGTTCTTGCCCGTTCTTCACTCCTGATACCCACAGCCCAGATGTCTGAGAAGTCCCATCTGTGCCACTGTGGCAGAGTATCTGAGATAGCACCTTGCAACAAACCAGTTGGCAGAGCAGCAGATAGCCTGAACACATCAGGCTCCCCATCATTCCAAGTGTAGACCTTCGTAACTGCCTGTTAACTATGCAAGTTGCCTTTGGGTGGCTCACCTGCCACATCAGGGAAGGGCTGATTTCCTTTCACCTGATCTAGAGATTTTCATCCAGCCTCTGGCTTATTCCACCCCTCTGCCAGACTCTCATTAGCCAAAAGAAGAAGGAAAAATTTCCTTCCAGACTTCATCTTCTGATCTAGCCAGATGGTAGATAAATAAATAACAGAGAAAAGAGGAAAAACATACTTGCTTTTGCTTAATAAAATACTGATAGTATATGCTGTTGTCACAGGAAATATTCAAATGTCAACAGCAGATGAGTATTCACAGTGCATGTGAAGGCAGGCCTAGAGGGAGGCATTTTCACTCAGCCTCAAGTTTTCATGGCACAGAAGACTGGAGGCAGTTCTAAGGGCTTTGAGAGCTTGGGAGAAGTCAAGGAAATTCAAGGCATTAAACCAAAGCAAAAGAGTTCCATCCTCTTGGGATGACATTGGTTTGGTATTCTCTAGAGAAGGGACTGTAAACAAAATTCAAAATGTGGAAGAGTTTTGCTTGAATGTAATGGCATCCTAACCCCTGCTGGAACAAACTGTGAGCCACTGCTCAGAAATTTCTGCTTGAGTTTGTGCCAGGAAAATATATGTCTGCTGATGAATCTGAATGGTTTTCTTGGTCAGAAAGAGAAAACTGTGTGAAAATACATGTTTCCCCTTTTGCCCGAGCTCTCAGGAAACATGGAGCCCAAATCAGTACCCAACTGTTTAATATTGTTATTCTAGGTGCCGGGGGCGGGGGGGACGGGACTGCTGTGTATGCCTCTTTAGATAAATCTCTGCTTTGATATTAGTCTTACTTGTAAGAACAATAAGACTGGTAAAAGCCTGAAATAATTTTAGAAGAATCTAGGGCTAGAAATTCAACCTAAATTGTAACAGGCAACACTGTATCTCCTCTCAGATGTCATTTACATATGGAGAAGCTCCATGATAGTGACAAATTGTTTTCATTGATTCATCCAGACATACCGTCTGAATTCTGCTTGGCAGGATTTCCTACTCTAGTTCAAGTTATTGAAAACGTTTGTATTTTTATTCCTCTTTATTCTTTTCTCTGCTTTCTTCAATAAATATAGTATGTCTTGTGCGCCCACAAAGTGCCAGGCACTGTGCTGGCCTAGTAGGCATACAGGAGTTAGCAAAACAAAGGTGAGCCTTGTCTTCTAATAGAGCTGAGAGCCTAATTCGGTGAGAGATGATAATCAAATAATCTCACAAACCAAACAGGAAAAGTACAATGCTTTTTACATTCTACAAGTAAGATATATGTTGCTGTCAGAGTACATAATTGAAGATTTGTTATAAGGTGGGAAATCAAGGAAGGCCTCCCTGAGAAAGTGATGACAGCTGTGTTGAAACGAAGAGAAGTTTGATGATAATAAAAAAAAAAAAAAAGCATTTACAGACCATGGAACGTTCTACGTGTATTATTTTACTTAATCCTCACTTGTAATTTAACACATATTTGAGCTTTAATTACATGCTGGGGGCAGGGGGTAGCCTTTGGATCTCCCTTTGAAAGAGACAGACTGGTAGCACCAAAGGGTATGGTACCTGGCTGAGAATCACAGTAATCAGCAATTAGTAAGGACTTGAATTTTTAGATTTCTACAAACGTGCTAGTGGCATTGTAAGTAACTCTATACATAATGTCACAAATATGAGGAAATCAACTTTCAGACACTTATCAATTTCTTCCACTCTTTTAGGTACTTTGGAACAATGTTCATTCATTTATGTTAATTCTCAGGACCACTAAGGATTAGTACTAAGAGAATAATTTCTACCTCTTTATCTTACACTTGGGAAACAAAATCTCTGCATCACTTTTTATGCTATGATTCAGACTCATCATTAAGTCAGGCCTTTCTCCCAGTGTGTCCAAGTTTGATTTCTTATTGCATGTACCACGGATCAAAGTTCAAAGATCACCTTCAGCAGATCTTTAAGGTAAAATTTAACAATATGGTTGGTTTATGAGGCAAGTGGAACTTCTCTTCATCAAATCAGCATCTTAGAGGAACTTGGCTGTGCTACTTGGTGACATAAGCAGAAGGTTCCAAAGCAAAGCATCTGGTTCTGTGGCTCTTCCTCTGGGATAAACAGGAATTGGTGTTTGCATGGCAGGTAGACCAGGTTCTTCTCTAACATAATCCCAAAACCTCTCTTCCAAGGGAGAAATATATGCTGGTGTTAGAGAATTTAGAGAGGAGATTGATTTTTCTGATTACTCATGGTGATCTCACTGATCACATGGCCTACTTAGCTACACTTGATCCCTACGTTATGTCCTGTCTTCCTCTCAGCTTTTTCTGGCAGGCACCTGCATTCCTCTAGTTCACCAGTCTGAGTCTGAGCTTAAGCCATACCATGCCAAGGAGGAATCATTCATATCTGAGGCATACTTTTTGTTTCCCTGAATTTAAAAGGTTATCTTTTTGAGGCTGGGCCTCAAATGCAATCATGTAAGAAGATAAACAATAATGCACAAAGGTAATCTAATCCCTGACAAGTGAGATTAGATTGGTCTCAGAATCAATGACTAGATTCCTTTTTTATGTGGCCATTTATGATCTAAAATTATAAACAATGTAAATGAATTCAAATCAATGGTTAATTATAGAACAAAATGAACACACAACAGGGTCATTTAAAGAAGAAAAAATAGAACCATTAAGGAATTAATATCTTAGTTTAAGGCCCTCAAGAAAAAAGGAAAAGGGAAGAAGAGAAAACTAATTATTGGAGCACCTACAATTCAGTGAAATAGTTACCATTCTCATTTTCACTTGAAGAAACTGAAGCTCAGAGAAATTAAGTAATACAGTTACTAGACTCTGAACTTAAGGGCAAGGGATTATATCCTATTTATCTATTTATCCATCATCTAGTCCCATGTCTCCCACAGAGTAGATGCTCATTAAATGTTTCATGATTGGCAGAATAAATCAGCAGATCTTAGATTTGGACACAGATCTATCAGACTCAAAATCCCAGGTTCGTGCTGGTCACCATGCCTCTTCCATTGCTACAGAAATGAGAAAACACTGCTGAAATTCAGGTAGACAAATAAAACGCTATTTCCAGATTTTCTCAATTGAGTTTTATAAGCATTTATTAAGCATCACTGTGCACTTAGCCACACATGATGGGAGGTACAAAAAACATGGAATGTATGGTGTTTATGCTGGAAGACTTTCCATTATAGCTGACAGAAAAAATCCAGATGGTTCACAGACAAGTAAGAGAAGCATTTGAAGGAAATGTGTGAGCACATATAAAGCAGCTAAACTATATAAAGGAATGTTGGAGTGAGTAAAAAGGAGGAAAAAACTTTTGTGGAATTAGGTATGGGACAAGTATTCAAGAACGAGGCGGAATCTTGAACCTGGACCTCCTGGGAAGTATAGGGAGGAAAGAGGTTATTGAAGCTAAAAAAATGTTTGAATGATGTTATATGAAGGATATGGGGAAGGCCCTGATCTAATGAGGTCAGATTCTTTTTGGGGACTAATAATCTGAAATCAGAAAGGCAAACACCAGGTTGTTGCCTTGAATCAAAGCTTGAGATGCTTGGGTTCAATCTGGTCAGCCCTTGTCCATTCTCCAGGGAGCATGCAGGCATACTTTAAGAAGATTACTATGGCAGCACAACACCAACAGGAGATTCGGAATAGAGTTTTTTCTTTTTCTTTAAAGATTTTTAAAGTAATCTCTACACCCCATGTGGGGCCTAAACTTAGAGCCCCAAGATCGAGTCACATGCTCCCCTGACTGAGCCAGCCAGGTGCCCCCAGAATACAGTTTTAAATAACTAAAAGTCAAAGGAAAACAGTTTTAGTGGTTGTAAAGGGAGAATCCATCAGTAACAAATTCCTTCAGAGAATTTTGGTTATTGCCACTCACATAGATTAGTCTTATGGATATTTTTTATTGATTCTTAAATCCTGTAACATGAAGACAGTATCTATCATACCTCATTATGTCAGAAATGTGAGGGGAAACACACTTCGTAAGCAATTAGGACATTTCTTCTACATTTGGGGGTTCTTAGAAATACTGTTTAGTTAGTTCACATTCCCATAATTACAAAATGTTAGTATTGGAAAGCATAGAAAACTTAGAAAGCAAAGTCCAATCCCCTTATTTAAGAGTAGATGACCTTGATCCAGAAAGGTCATGTGTTCCTCCAAGATCACACAGCTAATTAGTAGCCATTAAGTTTTATTCCCTGGGGCCAGGGTAACAATTGCTTCATGTTCTTCTATAAACTGAGTTCAGTTTAGTAAATAACATTTGCCCTTAAGCAGATATAGGAGCCACTACACAATAATTCTGTTGTAAGAGACTTTCTTCCTCCCCTGAAGTTGGATTTCAGTTTTCTCTTTTTATTTATCAGTTGTGGGTTACATCTTCTTCATTTCTGTGCACTCGGCACTTAGCATCGTGGCTGGCACATAGCAGGCACTCAGTATATTCTTGTTGAGATGAGCCGAATTTAAATCACTGATTTTCGTCCCCTTGCTCTTGGAGACTTCTGTGACATCTTTTGTTTTTTAAAATAAAAGAATCATCAGATCATTAAACTGGAAGCAGCCAGAGAAATTAACCCTCGTTTTACAAGTAAAGACACTAAAGCTCACAGAAGGTAAATGATGAATCCCAAAGATAGCACTCAAGGTGGGTCCCAAACCTTCTTCTCCAGATTACATAATTTGCTTTAGAGTGAAAAATATTAAGGGTTTTCAACATTTCTGTATGGGACAGATTCCAGATTATCAACTCTTTTTTTTTTTTTTTTAAAGATTTTATTTATTTATTTGAGAGAGAGAGAGAGAGAGAAACAGCATGAGAGGGGATAGGGTCAGATGGAGAAGCAGGCTCCCTGCTGAGCCAGGAGCCCGATGTGGGACTCGATCCCAGGACTCCGGGATCATGACCTGAGCCGAAGGCAGTCGCTTAACCAACTGAGCCACCCAGGCACCCTAGATTATCAACTCTTTAAGGGGGACAAAAGTATTCACAGTATTTTTGTGCTTCCATACAAAACTCAGGACTAGCAAGTAGGATGATAAAAGTCTTTGATGGCCAAATGAATAAGTGACAATTTCTGGGAAGAATTTCCCACTGAGCATGAGCTTGCGCTTATCTTGGAAAGGTCTCATTAGTAGGAAACACTGACCCTGAGAGAGGCAATGGAATCAAAGTTGGAAAAAAGGCAAGACAACTGGGCCACAGACTTAGATGGGGTCCATGCTTGTACAAATCAATTGCTCTATTCTGTGCCTCAGCCAACAGAAACACTCTTAATCCTAACCAACTGCCCATACCCTACCAACTCATGACCTAGAAGAATCAAAGGTGAGCACGGGACTGGCTTAGGCCAACTTGTCCCTGGGACTGGGAAATAGCACTCCCTCAGGTCAGGCTGAATGTGGGACATCCTCTCCTAACACCAAGGCCTGGCTGTTAATCCTTCATGAGTGGGAAGTCAAACAGGGGCTGCCCTGCAAGGCTCTGCTGATTTCATTCAAGTTCTTGATGGCTGTGGTCCTTAAACTCTCTTCACATTGACAGTGTCTACTGAAGGAGCCATGGGCTCAGGTAGTTCTAGAAGTCACCTGGTCAATGATAGAGCACTCAAAGAAAGTTTGGCTCTTAACCCTTAAATGGGAGGGTGTATTAGTTTGCTCAGCTGCCATAACAAGATATCACAGACTGGGAGGCTCCAGCAACAAAAATTCATTTTCTCACAGTTCTTGAGGCTAGAAGTACAAGACCAAGGGGTCAGCAGGTTTGGTTTCTCTTGAGGCCTCTCTCCTTGGCTTGCAGATGGTCGCCTTCTCTTTGTGTCCCTGAATGGCCTTTTCTCTCTGTGTGTGTGTGTGTGTGTGTGTGTGTGTGTGTGTGTGTGTGAGAGAGAGAGAGAGAGAGAGAGAGAGTCCCTGGTGTCTCTCTGTCTTCTTATAAGAAAACCAGTCCTACTGGATTAGGGCGCTACCCTGATGACCTAATTTAACCTTAATTATCTCTTTAAAGGTCCTATCTCCAATATAGTCACACTGGGGGTGAGCTTCAACATATGAATTTGGGGGCACATAATTCACTCCGTAACAGGAAAACCAGCCTCTTTTCTTGCCAGTCATCACTGGGCCTCCTCTGAATACTACTTAACTCTTCTTGGTGTTTTCTCCAAGAGACATTGGTGATTGATTTAGAAACCAATGAGGAAAATCACCTGCTAATTGAAACCTTAAGGAAAGTCCTGAAAATTATGATTAAAAGGGGAAAAAAATGCAAAGAAAATCACATTGCCAACAAGAGTGGAAGAGTATCTGTGGGACACTGTGCAAAGCAAGAGGCAAAAAGAAAAAAGAAAAAACAAAAACATACTGAGGAAAAGAAGCAAGGCTCAGCTCTCTCAACAGAAGAGAGCAACTTCGCTGGCAGCCTGTTGAGAGTGCGCCTTGTCTGCCTGATTTACACAGGTAGAGACAGAATGGTTTGGAGGCTGTAGGCCTGCTCAGCCAAACGCCCATGTGTGCATGAAATTAGAATGTCAACATTTGATTCATGCTGCCAAGCTGTGACTGTGAAACAAATTATGTCAGTGGGTGGCAACTGCAATATTAGTCTAAGCAGATAACATTTAACTATAAAGAGGGGCCCTGTCTTCCAGCTTTCTATTATTATTTTAATATCAACATTGTCAGACCTAGAGTTTTGAGAGAAAGGAAGATGTTTTATGTGGAGGCATGGGTCCTTTAGGAAGGGACTCGGCCATTCAAGTGAGGTTTGCTCCTAACCCAAAATTTTGAAATTTAGGCGTCAGGTGACACAATGATGAATTTTACAAACCCACTCAACTGAGTTCAAAGTGGCTGTGCCATTTGTGGGGTAATCTAAACCACAATTAAATAATCCGCCTCTTATAAAGGAAGCCTTTGATTCCTGGTCAGAAACAGGGAACTTTATCCTTAAATGCGTTTCAATGTAAAGGAAGCGGCAAGTACCTTGAAAGGGACGGAGAGCAAATTCTTCCAACCTACTTCCTCGGTTCCATACAAAGTAATTCTGCCAAGGTGAGGTCTACGCGGATGTTGGAGTTAAAATGTGTTCCTTTCTATTCAAGTGATTTAAGCTTTGTGCATATTTAAAATCAATTTTAAATGAAACATGGTTGGAAATTTGCCGAGGAATTTCACACAAAAAGTAGGCATTGTGTTGGTGTATATTTTCTTTAAGACTTTCTCAGTGAAGCTATAGCTGTCTACATCTTAAACTTGGCCCACGAGATAACAATTTTCCCATGAAATGAGGCGCACATCTATCTCCATTTGAGGCCCACTTATTTAACTACCAATATGGCAAAACATCAATTTGAAGTTTTATTCCATTACAAACACCCATGTAGTTAAAATTAATGCTGTGAAAAATCCAACTTGTAGCAGTGAAATGTTTATAGAAGCAGCATTCACTTAGCAGTTGAACCAGGCCAAGATGGCCAGCCACAAAATTAATACTCGAAGAGAATACCGAAAGATTTGGGGGGGGGGGGGAAGGGTATGGGAGGATATGAGCATCACTTAGAAACATGTACATTAGTTTAAAATACTTTTACTTCCAATCATGAGAATATTCTCGCATCTGCTCACAGTTAAACATGCTGTGATGGTCCCCATCTTTTCCTGCTAGAGTTCTCATCTCCCACTCACACATATCTATGCCCAAAACTCTAGGGGTGCATTTTTCTTTCTACCAAGGTATAAAGGCCTGAGGTCTTTATCAAAAGGGAAATATTAATAGAATTGATTCTTTTAAGTAGATTTCCTACGTGATGAAGAGGGCTGTGGGGAGAACAAACTTTAAAATTTACCAAAGAACCTTCTGGCACTATCATTTACATTACAGCTCTCTTATACCAGACAGAAAGTAACACTAAGGCAATATAGTTAGTAGGCTGATTTTGAAAATGCTTGCCTTCTTGGCATATTTCTCATGGCATTTTTTTTTTTTAAAGATTTTATTTATTCATTTGACAGAGATAGATACAGCGAGAGCAGGAACACAAGCAGGGGGAGTGGGAGAGGGAGAAGCAGGCTTCCTGCAGAGCGAGGAGCCCAATGTGGGGCTCGATCCCAGGACCCTGGGACCATGACCTGAGCTGAAGGCAGACGCTTAACGACTGAGCCACCCAGGCGCCCCTCTCATGGCATATTGATTGATCAGTCTCCTATTTTAGCTGGATACAGAATGAATATAAACTCACAAAGAAGCAAAAGAGATTTCTTAAAACTAGAAGTTGTAGAAGAGATAACCACAAAATTTCTACTTTGTCTCCACACATGGTTTGATGGAAGGGAGTACCAAACCCACCAATCTGGTCTTTGCCTACATGTAAAATTCCTTGACTGAAATGCTCTCATTGTCTGAGATGTTTGTGAAAAAGCTGCCTGAGTGGAAGGTCTCTGAAACTGATCATTGTAAGAGAAAGAGGTCTGAGGTAAAATGCCTATTTGACCCACCAGTCCGGTCTATTGCTTCAGCCATGGCTATTGATGCAGAAATGTGTTCTACCCTTTCCTCTCAAGGAAGAATTTTCACTTTGAAATTTCATTCATTCTGGAAACACCCCTTGGGTAGGCTATATTTCCTCTTCATTCAGATGATGTCAGAGCCCGCCATCCATTTTAAAGCCTTAACATCTTCAACAGCCATATATCATATCGTGCCATTTATTTCAAAACTGTTCACAGACCAGAAGGAATATTTTCTCTTCATGGAGGCAGTTGCAGGCTTGTAACTTCTTCATCTTCTGAAAACCATAGAATGAAGTTGGCATTATCATCTGCAGTTAGCTGTCAAATGCATTTAATGCTTTATCAGGAGAACTAGGAACAACACTACTCTCATCACTCCATGTCAGGAAAGTAGATTTGGGTTCTCCACCATGTAAGGCATTAACAGTATTCCTTCTGTCAGAAATGTAAAAATCAGGAGACCAGAGAATGGAATAAACAATATTTTGATGTAAACAGATTATCAAGATGAGTGGAATGACCGTCTGGTCACCCGGGGCGGGGGGGGGGGGGAGGGGGTTTATTCAGTTAACACTTCCACCCCTTAAAGACAATGGTGTGCAATCAATGCATATAGGGCCTTTCAGGCTCGTTGCTAAGTGATACGCAGTGTCAATAGAAAAATGCCGGATGTACAGAGGACAGCTCCAGGCCCAAGAGAGATCAACACCCTCTGATGATATTTTAAACTTAATTCAGTGCCCGATGAAGATTGTGACAGGTTCCGTGGCCAGAGCAGAAAAGATGTTTGCACTTCAAAATCCGACTTCGTAAAGTTGCTCTGCTGTGTGCAAAGAGTGTTTAATTTGGTAACAAGTGAATCATGGCCCAAAGAGTAGTTGGTTCAAATAGGAAAAGGCACCCAGCAGGGGCATCCTGAATATTCATTTCTTTCAAGGCACAGCAGTCATTTTACAATCTCGGCATCAGTATCAGAGCTGATCATTTGTCTCAGATTGTCTATGCATTCTCTCATTTTTTCATCTCTAAAATCTATTTTAGGAACAGCCCCTGAAGCCATTTGCAACAGCTTCTTCAGAAATTCTAAAGAAAGGAAAGAAACTTGAATAGGATCACATCACCCCATACAACCATGAAAACCTATTTTGTGGGGCATTCTTGAAACCAGCCCAGAAGCTCTTAAGAGTTTTTTGTATTTATTTACCCATTTCTTTCTCTCCCTTCTCCCTCCCCTTGATGGATTTTTATATTCAAATGCAAAAGATTTCCATGTGCACTAAAGATCCATTTATGTATTGGTTTAGAAGATCATGCCATGATGCTGAGAAATGCAACTTTTTCATAAACAGATGTTTACAAATTCAGTCTTTGTACCAGGAAAAGCACTCTCATCACAAAAGGCCTATTTTCCAAATCTGGAGGCAAAACCCTTTTGAAAAAACCTCATGTCCCTAAAGTCTAGGAAGTCAAATACATCGTTCCTCAAAGCCACCAAACCTGTAAAATCTTTTCCTAGACACTGGTGGATCCTGCATGCATGCCCTGGGTTGCTGCTGACAACAAACCCTTGCTTGCACAGGCCCTCAAAGTTGTGTAGATGAGAGGGTGGTGAGGGACACAATCAATGTATTCAGTTCAGGACTCTCTATTCACCTAGTGGAACACAAGCTTTTTAAGAGCCCAAGTCACATAGTTTTCAGTGGGCAGGTTTGTCCTCCTTTGTCCTCAAGAGTTTGGTCTGTTTATTAAACCAATGAGAACCCCAGAGCATTTTGTCTAGTGGGCTAAAAACTCCAAAAGCAGAGTATATTAACACAGATTGAGAGGAGGGTGGGAGAGGGGCTGGTGTATTGACATTTTTCTTCCTGTCTTATCCACAAAGCTAATTTTATAGGGTTGTTCCTGTCATGTTTAAGCTACAGGTAGTAAGGGGGAGATGGAAGGCAGATAAAACCACACAATAGCATTCCCAGGCCTTGTTTCTTCGCCTCACTGAGGGTGGTTCTCTCTCACAGAGGCATATAGGCATTGTGAGGTAATGAAGTAACAGCATAGAAAAAAAGCCAACAAGTTACGACAATAATTGCATTGAGACCACCTGCCACCATCCTCCTACTATAGGTGACTCCCGATACCAGGATTCTGCAACAAAACCCAGGCAAACTTTTCCATAGTTTTAAAAGATGGAAAGATAGTATTTTGGGCCCTCGGTTAGTAATGTGAACGGGCATCTTACGAGAGGGTTATGTACAGGCCACAGATATTTTTGGATTAATGATCAGGCCTAACTCATGACTGAGTCTCTTTCTCATCATTGGAGCAAGAACAAGTGAATTCTGAGTGCTAAACAAAAGGAATTTCACTTATAAGAACTAGCTGTGGGGCCAAAAATATTTTTTGAAAGGCATGACAATGTTTAGGTATTAACTGAAGTTGTTAACAGAAAACTATCAGTTTCTCTACAAACATGAAAAAGTATGAATGGACCATAAAGTATTCCTTAAATTCCAATAAAATTAGTTAGGGCCTCACTCTTTAAACTTATTCCAATAGCAAAAACTGCTTTTCACATTTCTTCTGAACTTGCCCAAACCATCACACAGGAATCAATGACAATGCTTCAGTTGTGTCTGGCCCCGGTACAACTGCCGAGCACTGTAGACTTGTAGTTTGAATAATGCTCTAACTTGGGGACATAGCCCAGACTTCCACATTTCTCTGTAGGTTAAAATATTTTCTCGGGGCGCCTGGGTGGCTCAGTCGGTTAAGCGACTGCCTTCGGCTCAGGTCATGATCCTGGAGTCCCGGGATCGAGTCCCGCATCGGGCTCCCTGCTCGGCGGGGATTCTGCTTCTCCCTCTGACCCTCCCCCCTCTCATGTGCTCTCCCTCATTCTCAAATGAATAAATAAAATTTAAAAAAAAAGAAAAAAAGAATTGCTCCTAGGGGCGCCTGGGTGGCTCAGTCGGTTAAGCAACTGCCTTCGGCTCAGGTCATGATCCTGGAGTCCCGGAGATCGGGGATCGAGGCCCGCGTCGGGCTCCCTGCTCAGCAGGGAGTCTGCTTCTCCCTCTGACCCTCCTCCCTCTCATGCTCTCTGTCTCTCATTCTCTCTCTCGCAAATAAATAAATAAAATCTTTAAAAAATATATATATATATTCTGTGCGACCATTTGTGACAAAAATCCTAGTTACTGTAGTATATGTATATGTATAAACATGCTGCTGCTCTCCCACCTTGGAAGGAAGAAGCATTTTCTACTTTTTCCCAGTAGTGGGGAAGTGTTTGTGCTAAGCCATTCACACTCTCCTTGTCCCTCTTGTGGCCAATAAGCTACACTGATAAACAGTCTGTGAAAGCAAAGAAATCCGCAGCTAAGGCGACAAGAACAAACGTTAACTAGGCCACACTGACAGGAGTCTAGGAGTTCAAAAGCTTTGCTGGCATGGGTGTTGCCTGGCAGAAACATTTGCTTAAGTCCAGCAATTTCAGCAGGTAAAACACTACAGCGAGCCATGGAACAACATACCTCAAAAGAAAACAGCCATAAAAAAAGCCAGAAATAGGACTGTTGAAGGTTTTCTATGTAAATTAGAGCCATGAGGACATACTAACTTACTAAACTGAAATATATATATATATATTTTTTTTTTTTTTTTACTTTTATTTGCATTTATTTTATGCAGAATTTATCCTCCGGCCATAAGTTTTTGTTTTTTCAGTTTCTTCTGGGATATCTGTTTCTTCTATGCAACCTCCTCTTTTGGTTTAGGGATAGATAATCTGCTCTTTCCAGTAAGTATCATCTCGATGTGGCAGGGAGAGCTCATGTGCCCATGGGCTCTGTAAGTTCTGTGCTGCATCCTGGGGGCTTTGTTCGCCCGGACGTACTCCATGACCAGAGAAGTGACATCTAAACCCTTAAGTTCAGCATTACTCTCTGCCTTTTTAAGCATGTGCAGTAAAAAATCAGCATTCTTTTTGGGCCACTGACCCTGTGTCCGGCCCCACTGTCTGGCCAGGGCACCCCTACCAACTCTACCAGTGTCGTGACAGAACACGCATTGCTTCTACAAAGTGACATCTTTCAGATATTTGGTGGCTTTTCGGTAGGCACACCCTCGATGGCAGTTTCACATGTGTTCCTAAAGAGAACACGAACATTTGAACCTCTTGATTTGCATGATTTTGTAGGGTTTCCTGGGTTGAGTGAATAGCGATCAATTTTCTGAGATCACCTCAGGCTCCTTAGGGGAAGAGCTATCCTTAACATACATTTGTTTTTTAATCTGCTTTCTCTTAGACAAGATCCATTGTAGATCTATGGTTCTCAACCCTGGCTGTACATTAGAAACTTTTAAAAATCTACAGATGCCCAGGCCCAACCCTCAGAATTTGTTTTAATTGGTCAGGGGCAGAGCCCAAGCCATGATAACGTTGATGTTCCCCAGAAAGTCTGGTGGTTAACATTCCCCCGGTGAGCCAGGGTTGAGGGATAGAGTCATAGATAGTTAACTGAAGACAGGCACAGATGGAATAAGCAGAGTTTATGAGAGGAAAACCTAAAGTTAAGGACAACCATCCATTAGTTTTTCTTTTTCTATGAATGGAGAAACAAAGTATACTATTCAATCTAAGCAGAAGACATCTTGGTTTAGCTCTAGGATTGACATATTCCTAGCTGAACCCTAGTAACTTATATGATTGGAAAGAGACCCTCAGAAACTAGAAGGCAGGTACAGACATATTTAGAAGAAGTACTGCCTCATGAGAGATTCAAAACACTGCAAAAATGTAGATGAGGGAAGTAAGGACATCAGGAAAGGCATCCTCGAAGAGGTAACTCTTGAAATGGGCCTGGAGTGGAAAGATCCCTGGGAAGCAACTGTGGGTGGGGGAAAGGGAGCTGGTAAAGTACAAGCAGGGAATCCCTTTTCCAAAGCTCAGGACTCTTTTCATGAAAAGGAGAAAGTATTTCATCTTTTTTTTTTTTTCCTTTTTATTATTCTTCTCTGCTTCTAGACTAGGAAAAGTAATAAAAGCTAACAGCTAACATTTACTATTTATTGTATGCCAGACATTATTCTAAGAGCTTTTCACTTAAATTCTTTGCACTTAATTGTCAGAATATCTGTGTGGGGTGCCTGGGTGGCTCAGTCGTTAAGCAGCTGCCTTCAGCTCAGGTCATGATCCCAGGGTCCTGGGATCCCAGGGAGTCCTGCATCGGGCTCCCTGGTCAGCGGAGAGCCTGCTTCTCCCTCTCCCTCTCCCTCT